CCCCCCCCCCTTTCTTCATCATTTAAACATATCTGTTTTGCTTGTGTTAGATCAGCGTTACTGGACCCATGGATATATTTTAATCTCCAAAGAAGTAGAAGATTGCGTGCCGCTCTTTTTGAAGCACCTGGCTAATGAAATATACATGTGTGGGAAAACCATCAACTTATTGAAATTATGCTGCCCCAGGGTATGTACCAAAAGTCTTGTCATTTGATGTACACTTTGTGTAGAAATATTAAGTGGGTTTGTCATTCAAGGCCTGTGATGTTTGTGTCTGCTCCTCTTTATAGAAGTTTATATTGGCAAACGCACTCATCAATTTGTTAACAGCTTTACAGCAAGGTGCACATGGAAGGCCTTATACAGTAAAACAGCAAAAAGTTTTCTCAGCACACTCGCCAGCATGCAAAAAAGTTTAGAGTTAGGAACGCACTTTATAGAGGTGCCTTGGCGCGGCTGTGCGGCTTTCACATTTTCTGCAGAAGATGTGTATCTAAACCTCTGTTTTTAACCTTAGCGGTGAGACAAGTTTTTTTTTTTGCATGCTGGCTGGTGAGTGTGCTGGGAAAACTTTTTGCTGTTATATTGGCAAACAGTTTTTGCGTGTATATTACCATAACTCTTCCTAAGCACAATGTGAGTTAATAAGTTAAGATGTAAACCTAACAACAGGTTTATAGGTGTATCTGGATGACCAACTGGCACAACATTGTTTTACAAAGTAATGCGGCTGGTTATTTGCAAAATGGAAGTTTTATGATGACTGATAATAATGGCACCAGTTCGCAAAAGCTTTTTTCAGGCCCTTACCACATTGATATTGCACGTTATGTAGTTGTGTAAAATCACAAAACTTACTAACTCTTATGTTTAAAAATTCAACATTCTTTGTAGGTGGCGGTATAGCAACCTGTTAGGTTAGTTTAATGCCTTTTTAGAAATAAAATATGCTTGAAATGCAATTCCCAAGAGGAATGATCTTTTATCACTTGGTATGGAGGTGTAGAATCATCGCCTCTCTCAGGGTGGGGGTATGACAGACCTGTGGTGCTATCTGATGCTTGTTCCCCTGTGGGGAAATGAGGTGGATGGAAATTTACCCTTTTCCTCCATTTTTCATGAACCTAATGCTTTTGCACGACATGAAAAAAAGCAGCATGTAGTTGTTGTTCTTACACAACGACAAATGTTTGTGGAGTAGTAGTTATGAAAAGAAAAGAAAAGCCTAATACAACAGATTACGATTCCTTATATGTTGAAATTGTGATCTGGATCAAGTAACACCGCACAGCCATATAGTGAGTGGTGAAATTGTAGGAATCTCGCAGGCCACGTGTTCAAGATGGTTTACTGAAGGCCCCATCCCATCTAGCTCTTAAATACACCAGGATGCCAAAAACATAGTCAGGCCTGGACACGGTAAAGACCTTCCTGTGCAACAGCTTACATGTGCCAGAATGCACTGTACAAAAGTGTTAAAATAACAAGCACAACATTGTTTTATCATAGTAAATGATAAAATAATGTCATGCTGTTAAAATAACATCAGCCTGTTGCACACGTGTACACCCAGTTTACTCCTTAGCAATACCAATTCAAGCTTTTTTGAATGTAATGTTTTATTGAGCAAAAAAAAAAAAGCGGTAACCCAAGAACACATAAATTGTGCTGTCATTCCACTGAGATTTGTGAATTGGCCATGTTGTCTTAAGACTGCCAGTAAAAGAAGGAAAACTCCACATGTGTACATAAAGATCTTGTGACTGTATGACTTCTGTATATAGGGTAAAATGTGAAGTATTTTTGTGTTGCAGCATTATATTTGCTGGTCTGACATCCCCGTACCTCGAATATCTGTTACCTTTTCCTTGGAGGAATTAAAGGAAATGAAAAAAGACTGTGCAATCTATGTGGCCCGAATGGAGAGAATTGCTCGAAACTGCAGCATCAGCAAAGAGGAAAAGGTAACAACAAATTCTCTAAATTTGCACATTTGCAGTAAGCATGCAAAATTTGTAAATTTGGCCCAGTAATAACCTCTCTTGCTCTTAGCATGCCTCAGGTTTTTGTGCTAGTGTCCAAGTAGGATAGATGTCTTTGCGCTGCGGTGAAAAAGCTTTATTTCGTTAGGTTTTTTTTTTCTTTCTGCAGTCAAGATTCCTGCTACATCACTGTTGTCACAACAGCGTACGATCGCGGGAAATCCCGCGATCGTACGAGAATCGAGCAGTGTGAACGAAGACGTGCGACCGTTTCTACTGTACGGTTGCACGTCTTTTGTCTAAGGAGCACGCTAGAAAACCAGCCGAGAATCGTACGATTTTCGGCTGGTTTGAACGGTGCTCGGGAGACAAATGCCGAACGGGCCGGTGTGCGCATGCGCACACTGCCCGTTCAGCATTGCGGTCATTGGAAGCCCGCCCCTCAATGGGGCAGGCCTGCGATGATCGAGAGTACGATCTGCCTGTCCAAGATAGGCAGATTGTACTTACAGTTTTTTTAAATCACTTTACAACCATCGCAAGACTAAGGTCTTGCGATGGTTGTACAGTGTATGGCCACCTTTAGCTTTACTTTGGAGTGCCATACCTGGACCTCACTGGTCTAAATCTCATGGCACTAGCCTGGAATGTGACCTTCAGGCACTGGGCTGTGCGTTATGGTGAGATGCAGAGTAGTGTGTGGGCAGATGGGGGTGTGAAAGGGTTGGGGCTGAGAGGGGTTCAGTGTCAGTGGGAGCCTGGGTCAGAAGTTAAGTGTGGTAGGGATCTGAGGTTGGGGGGGGGGGGGGGGGGGGGAAGTCTTCTTTCTCAAGCCGAAGAGCTTCGGCTTGAGAAAGAAGACCTGCTCTTCGAAACGCATAGCCAGCTTTTGTACTTCTGTACTTCTTGTTTTTTCTTAATTAACAAACGTCGGACACCCCGGTCCGCATTTCTAAGGAGCCGCACACCAGGTACTCTAACCCATACTCCTACACCCTCACCTCAGTGTTAGCGCTGCATCAGGGGACATTTCTCCCAATTTTTTCGCTGTTTTTAAAATGTCTGCTTTCACTGCAGAAGGGGTTAACATTGAGGGATTTAATCGTATTCAAGACCTAGCCTGGTATCCTGAGTTATGCTGCTGCAGTCTTGTGGTGCAACATGCTGCTTCCTAGACATATGGGGAACAGTCCCTCAGGTGCCTCCAAATCTTGCTTCACTAATGGCTCAGTGCCCTGAAGGGCCTTACACTGATGGCCTTGAAATCCAGTGCTGCAGATATGCCTGCTCTAGATGGTCCCCTCGCACTGACATCACCGCTGAGATTCCTCTAGTTTCTAGAAGACCCAGCCACTGGACAGCCAATAGGTGTATTGTGCATGTCATGCAGGCAGGACCAGTAATCCGCTTTATGTAAAATATAGCATTATACTTGGATGCAGAACTCTCATATACCTGTGTTGGCTTTCTTTTCAGGAACTGCAAGCAGAGATTGCAAAGCAGGACCTCATCATTCAGGCCCGAGAAACAACAGAGAAACTTATGGAAAGATTTAAAGGTTAGAATATGTCTATGTCACAATTGTTAATAAAGCCAGTTTTTCTAAGGTGCTTTTCATGCCTTTTTTTTTTTTTTTTTGTTCTATTGCTTGTTGCTGTAGATATGGAAATGGCTGTAAAAATGTCTCTAGACACAAAAAAGAGAGACCTGTTTTTGAAGCTGAAAGAACAGTATGAGAAAGATCAAGAGGTATTTGCAATATGGTTTATTACTGTATGATATGTCCATAAAAAACCATGGTCAAATATAAGATACTGTAAAGTGGTTTCCTAAAGAACTTCTATCTGGAGTCCGGGTATGCTGGTCACTGAATTGCAGTCAATTCAGGGTAGATTCAGAAGTGCCTGGCAACAAGTCTTTTTAGAGGACTTCATTAGAAAGATTGTTTAAACTCTTGTAACTGTCAGGGGTTACAAAGGGATTTTGAAAGCCTCCATCCATGCTTAGTCACACAGTTTCGTGTACACGTGCTGCTTTTCCTAGGAGTGGGTGTCTTACAAATAGGAGTACAAGGTCATGATATAATATGATATAAGTTAAGGGGGGGCACATCTGTATTTAATTTAAAACGTTAAAGAAGTTGGAGCATCCAACATGACTTTGATCTGCAAGAATCAATATAGAGCAGCTCAAACAGATGAAGGGATACTGTTTTATCTACTGGAATGGGACAAATACCTCCCAACAGCTGCATCTGCATCAGATCATTCTCAGCAACAGGAAGTGCCTGGCAGAAATTAAGTGCCAGTGAAGATATATGTATATATCAGTGTAAAACATGTGTTATTCCTAAATGAGACTGAATTATTTATTATGACTTGAATGCAGTTCATATGTTTTTAAGAGCAATGTATGCAGAAATCCAGATAATTTTGATAGGTGAGTTTTTTTTGCTGGCAGCTGTTTATAGAGAACTTGCCTGCCCATGTTTATCTTACAATCAAGTTAATTATCCACTTTTAACAGTACTGTTTTGTATAAATATCTGTTTCATTATGTTTACAAAGTAGAATATTCAGTTTCTTATATGAGAAAGCTGTATACCTTTTCTAAATGCATGTTCTTAAGTGAAAGTTGATACTCAATGGCTCTACTTCCAAAAGTTAATAAGTCACTGGAGCTAGAGAAAATTCTGATTAATGGGAACACATTTATTTCTTGAATGTGAATGAAAAATACACGGTCGAATATATGGTTGGCTGCCATACATGGTGTTGTATATTTGCATTTAAAGTGAGTCTGTCACTTTAACAAAGTAAGACACCGCAATATAAATTGGTGACACCTAGAGGGTGTCTGGCCATGTCAGCAGCAGCTTTTAGTTCCCCCACTGTGCCCAAATGCCAGGAAGCTCTGAGCTGGAAAAGCTCTGACGCTACTAGAAAGTGACGGATCTTGCCCACTCCCACCTACACTATACATTCCTACTGACTAATCAGTATGTTGGACCAGTAGTAATGTCAGAGAGGGGGTAAGCAAGCTACCAGAAAGTCATGTTTCTCTGATCAGAGCAACCCTGCTTTTGGACATAGTGGGCTTCTTCAAACCTGTCAAAGTGACTTTGACAGTCAAATGAGCAGATGCCCTCTTCATTCATTTGCAGCAACAAAACAGCCTAACTCTTTTTTTTGCACACAGCGACGGCTGGCTGCCGAGCAAGAGGATGCTGATGATGATTTTAGTTATGCCCGGGAGTTGCGTGATCGCGAGCAGAGGCTAAAAGCATTAGAGCAGGAACTGGAGACCAAAGCTAGGTAAATGATTTTTAACACTTTAATTCTATATATATTGTATGGATTCTCATAAAATTTCTATATATTTCTATACAATATATAGTATGGATTCTCATAAAATTTCTATATATTTCTATACAATATATAGTATGGATTCTCATTTATAATTCTCATAAAATGTTGATTTTTTTTTTTTAAACCCCTTTTTACATGAACAATACACATATGGTTTACATTCATACGTGTATTTACTGTCATATAAATTGCATTTCTTATGTACTGTATCCCTTATTTATCAACCCTAGGATGTGCTTCAGAACAACCCATTGAGGTCTTTTACTTGAAACTTAAGATTACTAAGGGAACCTATTTGTTTCATAGCCCTACAGTTATACAGTCTGGTAACCCTTAATAAAAGTAGATAAGGGGGCGCTACAGTAATAGTATTTGTTGGCTAACTCACTAGATTTGTATGTTTTCGCCCATCAGATTTTCTTAGTTAGCCTAATAAAAAATACCTAAGGGTTTTTAAAGGTAATGCGTTCAACAGGATCAAGTTCTTGCCAGTTATTTTTAATATTGTGGGGCCAAACACAAAGTGGTCCCTTTGCCAGTGGGGGATTTGTACACACTTGATATAAACTGTACAACTTATACATGACTGGAAGGAATGTAAAGAAAAGTAGGAGGAGATGGGTTTTCCATTTCATTTTCCAGCTCGCAAAGATGATTTATTGTTGCTTTCCCGACCTTCCCTCCATAGACAGGAACTTATAGATCATTATAGCAGACTCTCTGAGGAAGCCACTCGGAAAGAGCAGAGAGCGCTGTGGAAGCTCCAGCGTCATAAACTGGAAACTGCTCGCCGGAAGTTCTTCTATGATGATGAAAAGCACCTACAGGTTTATAATTATTTATTGTACTGTCATCTGCTGGAATGTTTAATACTTTTAGTTTGATTCGTGATAGTACATTTATTTTCTTTTAAAGGCGTTGTTGGAGCATAATCCTGTGGCCCAGTCTACTGAAAAAATAAATACTTCACCACCTCCAGAGGTACAGTGTGGTGATGTTTCCCCGACATCCGTACCAGTAACCAACCAGTTATGTGAGGTTTGTAGTTTGTTTTCTCAAAAGGCTTAATTTAAATTGTGCAGGTCTGTTTATGAAGCGAATGCAGGATTCACTTAGTCTTGAGGTTACTAGTTCTAGCATTATGAGGTAAATAACTAGATGAAGTTGATCTGTAACTGGAAATCCGTAAATGATTCTCCATTCTCTTCTCATTTTAACATAGTTATATATTATATTTTTTATTTCTCCTTTTAAACTTTGTTTCTATCAATGTGTTAGTTCATCTAGTAAAGGCAAGAGAAATGTGTATGTTTTACATGCACGTGTATTATTATTATTTTTTTTACATATACATACTCTGCTTATGCCATTTTTTTTAATCATAGGTTTACTTTAAAATCCATCTCCGGGCAAAGAAAAAGAAAAAAACTTACCCTTGCAGTGGGGCTACTACTGCACTGCAAGGGTTAAGTGATATTTTTTTCTAGGGGACTCAAAGCAGTTTTACTTACCTGATCTTGGCTTCTGCAGCACTCCAGGCTGTCATCTTCCAGGACAGCCATCGAGATATAGGCTCCGCCTGCCTGCAACAGGAATCCAGATGTTGGAATGTCCCATGTCATCAAGTCTAATGCAGGTCAGTGGACCTACATAAGACACAATAACATTAGCAGTCCTTAAACCCCTGGAACAAATGTGAGAAGAGGCTGCGGCAGCCGGTCTAGCAGCCTGGACTGAGATGGGAGAAGCATTAATCAGTTAAACACCTTTAATAGAATCCCCTGACCAGCACTTTACCCTTGCAGTGCGTGGTTAGCCACACTGCAAGGATACGTTTTTCTGTTTGCTCGGAGATGGGCTTTAAGTTACTTTTAACTATAGATTCCTTTGTTCAAGCATATTAAATTGGCATTTTTGGATAAGTGATTTACAAATATGTCCACTAGTTCATTAAAAGTATGTGATTACGTAACTTTTAGTTGTTTAAATCCCTATTTCTCTCCCGTTCATTGAAGGACACAGGGAACAGATCGGAGATCCTGTACTGTAGGGTAATATCGCCACCTGCAGGAGAAGGACGCTAGGCACAAAACGAAAGACCAATTACAGCATCACCTGGATCTTCCATGTTCCCTGCGCGGCTGCTTGACATAGATGCTGCGGATGGTCCACGTTCCCCGGCGGTATGTATAGCGCTGCGTGGGCACGTGGTGGTGATGTGGGGGTCGGTGGGGGTCTGATCTCCCTTTGGGCTTCCTGACCTCCTTCAATGGGGACTCCCTTGCCTTGCTTGTGGCCCTAGTTTAGCAGCTATATTACCGGGGACATGGACTGTGGGGACGGTCTGGCCGCAGTGCCCTGTGAGGGCTTCGGCCTCTCTTCAGGGACATCTCCCACGTCCCCCCTTTGCGCGGCCTGTACTTCTGCGCCCCTTTCCCAGTCTCCCTTGGTGCCTGTGGGGTCTTTGGGTGGGGGGTCCACCGGCGCTATGTTGTCCTTTGGAGGCTTTTTCCACCACTATGGACGGTTTTGTGTCCCGTATGGAGTGCGCACCGACGCAGCGCCCTCCACGGAAGCGCGCTTTGCCGCCCCCCTCCCCGGTCCTTTCTGGGGATTCTGAGGAAGAGGAGGAAATTTCAGCTGCGGCCGCGCAGCCCGACCTGGGGGATTCCTCCCAGGCGGAGTCTGCTAGTGACGAAGAGTCTGGGACTGCCCTTATGGTACAGGAACGCGAATTGGTCACGGCCTTGGTTCGCGCTGTGCGGGAAACGCTTAAAATTGAGGAGACTCCGAGCTCTTCTGCGCTCCCGCCGGTTCCTTTTGGGACGCACAGGAGTAGGCGTTCCACTAAGGTTTTCCCTTACGTTCCTTTTTTTGATGCCCGAGCAAGTTGTTTTCCATCCCCAAACGCTTCTCGGTTCGTTATCCTTTTGAGGAGTCCTTCCTGTCCAAGTGGTCTACTCCCCCCGCGGTGGATCCGCCGGTTTCCCGCCTGAACAAGGCTACGGTCATCCCGGTGGAGGATTCGCCTTCCTTTCGGGATCCCTCGGATAGGAAGGCGGAGGCGGTGGCGCGTACTATGTACTCGGTTTCCGGGGCTCTGTTGCGCCCCGTGTTGGCTTCGGCCCTGGTCTCCCAGACCTTGACTGAGTGGATGAAGATGCTGCGTCAGGGTCTTGCAGAAGAAAACGTGTCTCCTGCTTATGTCGACCTTACGGAACAGGTGGTGCAGGGTCTGCAATACCTGTGTAATTCGGCCTTGGATGCGGCACCGTTGGTTTCCAAGCTGTCTGTGTCGGCGGTTACTCTTCGGCGCCTCCTCTGGCTTAAATGCTGGTCGGCTGACCAGGCTTCCAAGAAGGCTCTGACGGAGCTCCCCTTTACGGGGGAGCGTCTGTTCGGGGCTACCTTGGATGAGATAATTAAGGATTTGACGGGCGGTAAGAGTACCTTCCTACCTCAATCTAAAAAGCCTAGGGAACAGCGGCGGAAGCCGGGTCCTTCCTTTTCCGCTCACAAGCGGCTTTTTCGTCCGCCTCCGCCCTCTGAGAAGGGCGGGAAGTTCAACAGACCGCTGCCTTCCCAGGCCGCCAAACGCCCCTGGCAGCCCAGGAACGCCAAGCCTCAGGGTAAGCCCCCTTCGGCATGAAGGCCTGCCCCCATCCCGGCATTCCAGGGTGGGGGGACGTCTTCGGCTCTTTGCGAGCCGCTGGCTGTCCCGCGTCTCCGACACCTGGGTGCGGGAATTGGTGTCCTCGGGCTACAAAATAGAGTTTCTGTCACGTCCCGAGGAGAGGTTTTTTCCTTCCAACATCCGTCTTCCCCACAGCGCTTGGCAGGCCTTCATGGCGCGGTGGCGGGTCTTTTGTCCCAAGGGGTGGTGGTTCCGGTTCCCTCCTCGGAGAGGTTCAGAGTGTTTTACTCAAACCTCTTTACGGTGCCGAAAAAGGATGGCATTCGTCCCATCCTGGACCTCAAGCGGTTGAACGTCTTTGTGCGCGTTCGATCCGCTCTGTGGTGGCGTGTCTTCACCAGGGGGATTTCATGGCCTCCCTAGACATCAAAGATGCCTACCTTCACGTTCCTGTTTGTACCTCCCACCAAGGCTACCTTCCCTTTGCGGTAGGGGACAACCATTACCAGTTTGTCGCTCTGCCCTTCGGTCTGGCGTCGGCACCTCGGGTGTTCACCAAGGTGCTGGCCCCGATCTTGGCCCTGTTGCGTGGTCGGGGGATCTCGGTGGTGGGGTACCTGGACGACCTCCTGCTAAAGGCGGAGTCGCATTCCTCTCTGGTGGCAGATCTGGCGATCGCCGTTCGGTCATTGGGGGAGTTCGGCTGGCTCCTGAACTTCCAGAAGTCTTGCCTGGTACCGACCACTCGGTTGGAGTATCTGGGGCTGATTCTAGACTCCACCTCGGCGCGGGTTTTTCTACCCCCCGCGAAGCTTCTGAAGCTTCGCTCTTATGCGACGCTACTGCGGACACGTCGATGGTCAACGATCCGGTCTTGCATGCAGGTCCTGGGCCTCATGGTGGCTTCCTTCGAAGCGGTGCCTTACGCTCAGCATCACACGCGGGTTCTGCAGAGGTCCATCTTGTCGCTGTGGGACAAGTCCCCCTTGTCGCTGGACTGTACGGTTCAGTTGCCTCGGGAGGCGAGGGCCTCCCTGGTCTGGTGGCTTCGGTCTCCGTCCCTGGTGTTGGGCAAGTCCTTCCTTCCCATTCACTGGACGGTGGTCACCACGGATGCCAGCCTGTTGGGCTGGGGGGGCGTCCTGGACATCTGGACGGCTCAGGGCCGTTGGTCGTCGGAGGAATCTCGGCTTTCGATCAACGTGCTGGAACTTCGGGCGATCCGTCTCTCCCTTCTTCACTGGACGGACCGTCTTCAGGGACGGCCGGTCCGGGTTCAGTCAGACAACGCCACGGCCGTGGCTTACGTCAACCATCAGGGCGGCACACGAAGTGTGGCCGCGGCTCGGGAAGTGGAAAGAATCCTAGCTTGGGCGGAGGTGCATGTTCCGGCTCTCTCCGCCGTGTACATTCCGGGCGTGGACAATTGGCAGGCCGATTATCTCAGTCGCCAGTCAGTGGACCCGGGAGAATGGATGCTACATCCGGAGGTGTTTCACCAGCTCTGCCTTCGCTGGGGGTTCCCGGACGTGGATCTCCTGGCGTCTCGCCTCAATCGGCGGGTGGCTCGGTTCGTGGCCAGGACCCGGGATCCTTGGGCGGATGCGGTGGACGCCCTGGTGGCGCCGTGGGATTGCTACGGTCTGATTTACGCGTTCCCTCCACTGTATCTGTTGGCGCGTCTTTTTCGCAGGGTCGCGGTGGAAAACGTCCTGGTCATCCTCGTGGCTCCGGATTGGCCGAGGAGGGCGTGGTACGCAGATGTGGTTCGGTTAGTGGCGGACGTCCCCTGGCGCCTGCCACTCCGTCCAGATCTTCTATCTCAGGGTCCGGTGTTCCATCCGTCTTTACCGTCGTTGGCTTTGACGGCGTGGCTGTTGAGAGCCAGGTGTTGAGGGATCGTGGTCTCTCGGATGCGGTTATCTCTACGATGTTGCGGGCTCGCAAGCCTGTGTCCCGACGGATTTACTATCGAACTTGGAAGGCTTATTTTGCCTGGTGTGAGTCGGTAGGATTTCCGCCTCGTTTGTTTTCAGTTGCCAGGATCCTCGCCTTTTTACAGCGGGGTGTGGATCAGGGTTTGGCCTTGAGTACGATCAAGGGCCAGATTTCGGCCTTGGCGGTCCTTTTTCAACGGCCGATAGCTTCCAACGCTTTCGTTCGCACTTTTGTGCAGGAGGTTACACGTATCGTTCCCCCTGTTCGCTCCCCGTTGCCGCCGTGGGATTTGAATCTGGTGCTCTCAGTGTTGCAGGAATCTCCCTTTGAGCCTCTGCGTGACACTCCAATTCTGACTCTATCTCAAAAAGTTGCCTTTCTGGTGGCAGTCACCTCGATCCGCAGGGTCTCGGAATTGGCGGCCCTCTCTTGCTCGTCCCCGTTGCTGGTCCTGCATCGGGACAAGGTGGTTCTACGGCCTCGACCGTCCTTCCTGCCGAAGGTAGTTTCGGCTTTCCATCTCAATGAGGACATTGTCCTACCTTCCTTGTGTCCGCAGCCTGTCCACAGGAAGGAGAAGGCGCTGCACTGTCTGGATGTGGTCCGCGCCATCCGTGTTTATCGGAGTGCTACGGCTGCGTTTCGGGAATCGGATTCCCTGTTTGTCGTTGCAGATGGCCCCCGGAAGGGCCGGGCTGCCTCGTCGGCTACCATCTCTCGATGGTTTCGCGACACGGTCTCTCAGGCAAATGCTATTAAGGGGCGTGAGCCTCCTTTTTCTGTTACGGCCCATTCTACAAGGGCTGTTGGAGCGTCCTTCTCCTGCAGGTGGTGATATTACCCTACAGTACAGGATCTCCGATCTGTTCCCTGTGTCATTCAATGAACGGAGAGAAAAGGATTTTACGGTGAGTACCAAAATCCTATTTTTCTATCATATTATAAAATGCAAGAAAATAACACGCCACAAAAATTTGGAATCAAACTTTGCATAGAACATAATAATTCAGCAAACTTTCTAAATCATCTCTTCGGGGAAGCCTATCCCACCTCAACCTAACCACTGAACTATCACATTCTCAAATAATTCATCCCCTCACAACTATCTCCTCATGTATCACTTGCCCCTCCTTTTAGATTGTAAGCCCTCACGGGCAGGGCCCTCCTTACCATCTTGTCTTGAATTGTATTGTAATTGTAATGTCTTCCTTGTATTGTAAAGTGCTGCGCAAACTGTTGGCACTATTTAAATCCTGAATAATAATAAATCCAATTTCTTCTTAGATTTTACTTACTGAAGCAACGTCTTCAAACGTCAATACCAATGAGGAAGGAACAAGAGATGACAACCTCATTCTTGCAACAGATCTCTCACCATCTGAAGAAAATAAACAGTCTACTTTAAGTATAGCTGAGAAAGAAGACACGGATTCTTGTCTTCCAAGCCTGTGTACTTTGGATGTGGAGTTTGCAGATTTCCTCCCCGTGACAGCCTCTGAGAAACAAGATACTGAACAGACTAGTGAGCTCTCACAAGTGCATGATGCTTTAAAAGACATAGGCTCAGATCTTGCAAAGGCTAAAGATACACAAATTGTTACACTTGAAAGTGACTATGACTTTAACACAGTGTTGAAACCAGTCCCAATTGCACAGGTTCCTCAAGGACACATACAAATTGGAGAATATGTATCCGATGAACAGCCTAGTAGGCCACGCTGGAACATTCATGGTCATGCATCAGATGCCAATATTAAAGTTGGAGAATATGTTCCTGATGCAGCTTTGTCCCTTCCACAGCCTAATCAACATGGCCATTCTTCTGATTCTCACATTAATATTGGGGACTTCATGTCTGATGTCCAGCCTTCAAGACCTCACTGGAACATCTATGGCCATGTGTCTGAAGGGCACATAAACATAGGAGAATATGCTTCTAATGTAGAGTCTTCTAGGCCCAGACAGAATATTCATGGGCATTCCTCAGAGGCAAATATCAAGGTTGGGGAGAATGTATCAGATGTGGAACCTTCAAGACCACGTTGGAATGTGCATGGACATGCGTCTGATGCCAATATCAAAATTGGAGAAAATGTTTCTGAAGTTGTTTCCTCACGACCTAGGTGGAACATACATGGACATGCTTCACAGTCCCACATAAAGATTGGCGGGCTGATCTCAGAGTCTTTAAAACCATGCTGGAGTTCTTTTGGTCATGCCTCACAATCCAGCATTAAAATTGGAGAATGGTCTCCCTCAGATGATACTGTGACACCTAAACCTAAAACAAATTGTGCCCATTCTTCTGACTCCACGGTCCAGAACGTAATTTATGGTGAAAGAAAAGACTTTGAAAGGCCTTCTGAAACTCCAGAAACAGAAGACATCCCTTCAGAACAAACATGTTCATCAGACCCTGTAACTGTATTATCACCCTCCAGTTTGAAAGGGGATGAAAGTGAAGGAGGCCTAAAAGCAGGTGTGTACTGTACTTGTGGAATGTATATTGGAATATAAACTACCATTAATCTCTTTGTGCACAAACCTGGGCTGGGGTTTGGTAGCTAAACCTCTCCTTCTTGCTCTTAAGATTAATACTTTTGATTGAATTGGCATAGTCAAGTTTAGTTTCTAAGTTGGCCAGAAATGTGAAACAATGATTACCGTATCATGCCAATTTTTAGCCTTTTCATTTCAAAAAGACTAATTATTTTTACTCTGCCTAATTCAAAATCAGCCAAGGGACTTTTCAAATCTTGTTATGATTTTCACCCCAGTTAGCACCAACATATTACTATTACTTTTGTTACTTTGTCCAGAAGCACTACACTTGGTCTATTCCAAAACTCACAAAAGATCACGCTTTGACTTCATTTACTTTGCCCCGAGACAGGAGTAAATCCAATAGATTTATAGTGCAGTGATGCCTTCTGGGAAGGTCTGACATAACATTCTGCCCAAACTAATAAAACACTCCTTTTTATGAGGACTGACAAATGAATCTGATTAGACGTGTTGCTGAATGTGGATGTGGTCCTGCTTTCAAGAGTGAGTAGTATATTTAGGCACAAGGTTGGGATTCTCTTTTCAGTAAGCTGTTAATTGTCATCATTGATGTTGTTGATTGGTGCTGTTTGGGTATCCATATCATACTGGATCATATTTACACATCTTTTACAATTGGTAAGATGTATTAAAATACATGTATATGCTTCTTTGGCCACCTCTATTGGTGGTTTTTAATGGATAGTGATAATCACTTAGTGTAAAATGTGTCATTTGATTATATTCATCCTTTTTTTTTTGGGTGGGGGTGTCATTTTTTTTTCCTGTTTCCACAGATGAAAATATGACTGAAGACAGCAGACCAGCATCACCAGGTTTGCCTACAAATATAGAGGTACATGATTTTTTATGTATAATAAAATCTATTTGAAATTATAGTATTTAGTATGATGTAAAGGTACAGATGAATAAAAGAAATCTCCAGAAATAACTCCAAAATCAGCAAATATGTAAAGTACCTAGATATTTCCCTATGTGTATATATTTTTGGATACACCGTTTGAAAGGGAAAACATTAACCAGAGGTTTTGGCCTGTAGCATTAAATTATGTTATGGATTATATTCTACTTTTTGTTGGTTTGGAACAACATATCAGACATCAAGTAACCTACAGATCCAGCAGATACATAGCCATCCCCCCATCTACTTTATTTGATCAAAGAAGGTTGGCCTCAAATGCTGTAAAAGGATTTTTTATCGTTTTAGTGCTGTTACGAATACAGCCTTGGCACTCCAACTATGATGAAACTACAACTCCTATTATGCCGTTGCCCCTGGGAGTTATGCCTGTGGCTCTCTGATTCTTGCAATGCCTCAAGGATTCCAAAACAGCTGGAGTGCTGAGGTTGCCTGCCCCTGTACTGTAGGCATAGTGTACATTTCCTTTGTGGAGTTCTGCCATAAGATACAGTATATTCCTGACCAGTGAAAACAATATGAATGCAGATTTATATGTTTTAGGAAGTCTT